ACACACACACACACACACACACACACACACACATACATGGACGTATATCTAACATATGTATATCTTACATGAATAATATCGTTTTTCCTCAACAGGCGCTGTCATTTTCCCATTCTAACTTATCATTATAATGAATGAAAAGCGAGAATGAAGATCGATGTTTTTATAAACTATGGATTGAATATTGAATGAAAATGGTACAAATGAAATGTACAATGAATGGAAAATCTTTTTCATTGAACTTATTTCTCTCCTATTTATTCATCCACCCGCACATTTTGCTGAATGAAAAGCAATGTTTCATAAAGAACGACAAACAGACTATATTTCAGTTAGCTAGACGAATAACTTTCACAATTTTTCGAAATCAATTTGTCATTCACCACAAAAAAATCGATGTTTTCTTCCCTTCCTGTCATTTCTATTCTTAATCTTCTCTGCTCACTTCCTCTCTTTTAACCTTTCTACTATTCCCATTACTCTATGCTATTTTGCAATGGAAGCCGAAAGTCGAGAACTAATCTATCAGCCAGTTATGCTCATTCTCTTATCGTGAAATCGCCGCTGCTTCAATCATAATCAGTAATTCTTCAGCCGCTCCAGATTTCACACATCTAATATATCTCAGAACTTTTTTTTTTCACTGAATTAATTTCATCATGAAGAAAAAAACGTTCCTTCTGCAGAATGACAGTCAACTTATCTGCTCAAATCGCATTAGTTTTAGGAAAAGAAGTAATATTTCAGCTATTAAACCTATAATTCCCAGTTTTCCATGTATCTTCTCACTAAGCATTGTAACTTTAATCTTTAGCATTACCATAGGAATGTTCCAGATAATTTTACTATATAATAAAGAGGGACGAGCATGAACTAAAAAGCAAAGTGAAAGTTAAATCAGTTTGCATAAAGAATGCTTGGAAATTAAATTTTAGGAAAATATCATTCAGAACTTACACAATAGATTGGTTCTTTTAATAATTGATTACCACAAACCTGAAATACATGGAAATTGAATTTTGTATAAATAAAAGCTATTTAGATTTCATTTTCCGATAAAAATTTCAGTGCATAATTTGTGAAAAAATGCTAAAATTCTTGAAAAATATGCTTATAAATACATTTCATTATGAACATTCATTTTTCAAAACAGGAAAACGCAAATAACATTCGGATCTTTCCCGCACAGAAGCGTAAATAGTGTCTTTCGGAAACTAAATTAACCCAGCAACATGATGATCAGAAAGAAATCTTGAATAATAATAAATTACATCATTCTCAGTTTTTTAATGCCGAGAAAAAACTGTCATTAATGATCAGTTCTACTCTATTTAGCTGTTATGTCACTGTATCTAACGAATAAGGGAACAACATGCATTCTATCAATATTTTTGACACACCAGTAGTGAAAGATTGCTGGATAAATTCGTTCATTTGAACTATATTATATTGTGGTCACTTGCAAGTGGACATAACAGATAGTATATAACAGACATGAGCATGCTGAATTATTTATTGTAAAAATTTGTTAGTGTAAATACTTATCGATCAGCATTTGGAGTATTACTTACAGTATGACGAAGAAGCAGTTTTCCAAATTATCAATAATTTGGAAAACAGCTTTGATAGCAATGAAAAATTATCACGAAGACATCTTTCAATTAGAATAAATAAGTACTGCATTAGAAAAACATCAGCAGAAATGGTCCTTCTTACAGCATATAATTAATGAATATGCTGCTAAAAAGCATGAAAATACAATAAATGATTCTAAGTGAGTAGGACACATAATGGATGGATATGAACGATAGAAAAGCAGTGGAAATTATATAAGTCATTTAAAAAGAATGTAAAATGTATTACTGCAAGTATGATGCCAATCACATTGCAGCGTTACAGTCACAATGATCATTTCACCAAAATATTTCATATTTGTTTAGTCAGGTTAACTAATTACTAAAATGAAGAATAATGTTAAATTGTTTTTTAACGACTAATTTATTGACAAACAAATGGCAAAAAATTTCGCATTCCACGTTATTTACATAAATGATAAGGATAACTTCACGAAACCAAATAAAATTCAAAATACAAAAATTGAAATTTAGCTAAAGTTAACTCGCTCTTACTTCCCACATAATAACGAGTAAGAATTAGGCTCTCGAACTTTCAGAATCGATGCTGACGCAAAGAAAGGTGTCATGTGGATGATAAGTGCTAGTTTTAAAAACAGTAGAGCGGCAATCCTTTTAAGAAGATGAATGGTATGTGGTGAGAATACAATAAATGGAGAGACGAAGAACGAAAATGTTGAAATAATAAAAGTGATGTTTGATATAAACTCTGATTAGCTTAATAGAAAACTTAATAGAAAACTACGTTTAACTGGAATTTCAATATACAAAATTGAATTTTAAAATTTCTGTGAGAATTTTTAATCATCTGATTAATTGGAGCTCTTTGTGAGAACCATAGAGTAATATGAAAAGCTCAATCTACTTAAAAAATAAAACCTTTACCTTGTAGAATATTAATAGGAAAAACAATCAAGAAATTTTCAACAAATTTGAAAAGGAGAACAAAAATTACTTGGCAAAAGCAGGAATTGCATTCTTTTGAAATGAGCAAGAATGCCGCTATTCGTGCACCTGTGTGGGCTCCAATCTGCAATTTTTCGAATTTGAATTTTAGACTCTCCATCTGAGCAATTTTCACAATTTTCAGCAAAATATCATCTACATAAAAAAAACAACTATAAAACAACTATTCCAAAAAATTTTTCCCAAATTTCTTCAACAAAATGAGGTGTGTAATTCAATCAAAACTCTCTTAAGAGGACATTTTGACAAATTATTTTTACAGTTCCATCGTGAAGTGAAATTTTTTTAAACAGTTGTTGTTGTCATAATTACTAAAAATCGGATCAACAGAAATTCCTTTCGCTAAGAGATCAAAGATGGACGCCCATTAATTCATAGATTGCCCTTTTTGCAGTATGCATGTGCAATATACATTGTGTATCACCGTTAAATGGTAAGTAAAGGAATCACCACTGCGTTTTTTTAAAAAAAATCATTTGAAATAACTGTAAAATTCCTAGACCGTTTTTTTTTACAATTTCGCTATTATATCTATTTATTTTCTTTTAACCTTTTTATTTCCATTCACTAAAATTTTAGAAGAAATTTGAAAGTGCAATTTCGAATGCCTTTTTTCAAGATACCAATACAATTAATATTACACAGTAAATACTCCTCAAAAAAGTGAACGATGAAGAGTGCAGATTTCTTGTCTGGCGATCGACAACAGAAAGACAATTTTTTCTATTTATTTTTCATTGATAAGAATTTTGGCCATCATCTGGAAGGCTGTAATTTTCAAAAGTTTAAAATATCCTTCAACAAACCAGCCAACAATCTTCAAATACCTTCAGGGTCCAATATTGGAGATGAGCACTGCACTTCATTAGTTTACACTTCACAGCTGTGATTAATGATTAATGTTAGAAATTTTTTTTCAACTTTTTAAAACAGAATTTTCATTAAAAAAAACTTACCCATGAGTTGAGTACTTGTTGAAAACGGATCATATCCGGATTCTCGGCAGCGATATCTGCAGTTACACGACTTAATTCATCAATACCTTTACAACGTGCGTCATATGATTGTATATCAGCAAGTGCAAGCTCTGGCTGTGGCCCAGTTCCAATGCACAATTTAGAATCACTAGCCGAACGTGATAATGTCAAGTGTCGAACCCGAACAACAGTGACATCATAAGATGATGCCAACCTCATTTTTCTAGTCGGAATGTCGTTGACAGTAGGCGTAAAAGCATGTTGTTCAGTAATAGTGTCATTGCTTACTACCGTAGTAGCAACAACTGGTAGTGGAGTGGTATCAGTGATACCAGCAGAAATCACAGGAACATGATTACGACATACTGAGTACTCGAACGTCTTCTGTCCGGTCGATTGCGTAAGGGAAGACAGCGAGGAGTCACGGAGAGTATCAGCAAACAATGGTGCATTTTCACTTTCTAAGTCGTTTAACAGTTTCATGCAACTCAACGTTGAATGAAATGTTACCAGCTGTCTTAAATTAAAAACATTAAGGGGAAGGAAAAAGAAATGTAAATAGAAAAGGGTGTGTTAACTGCAAAAATTGCCATTACAAACAAATGGTTGGATGGTTCATGCACTATTTAAATGACAGTTTCTAAAATCAATTCTTTCATCTGGTCCAGCCTAACACTGAATTTGTTGAAAATCAAACAGTCTTTTAGGTATATGTAATGTTGAGGGATTTCTGTTGTACATTTCGAATTTTATCGAAATTCTCAATATGAACACTTCAAATTCATCCCAACATCAGTACAGAAGCCATCAAAATATTGCAATTGCAGAGCAATTTTTAGGAATTATGGAAATGTCTTCTTTTCCCACATACCTTTTGCGTAAAGCGCCGATTTTAACAGGTAACAGTAACGATGGGTTTGTTGGAAAAAGACCATCATTTGAGCTGCAACCACAAGTACCGCTATTGCCACTGTTATCATCGTTATCACTACCAATTTCACCATCACACTGACATGCTACATCATTTACAGTTGTTGCTTGTTGCCCAGATACAATAAAATGAAAAGCATGCAAAGTAGATGTGGATGCGGAATTAGAGGAACAACTTTCGTATTGCTGCTGTTGTTGATGTTCGGCTATGACAGGACATGTTCCCGCAACTAAATTTGTGTAACCGATACCACACAAAAGCATGACGAATAAACTGGCTTATAATTGGCATTAATACTACGATTCTTCCTTCATTGATACCAACAAAATTGAATACCTTGTTGTCTGAATATATCAACTGGACAACGTTAATACTTTTCAACTTTTTACATATTTAACCTATTTCTAACAAAATTGAAGCAATGCTTTCGTAGTAAAACAAAAATCATACATTACAAGCGTGGATTGTTATTACAATCCGACCTCATAAATTCAATGCAAGAAAGCAACTGAAATCATTTCCGAAATGAAAAGGGCAGAAGTGACCGTTCGAAAAAAGTATCGGCTTAATTTTTGCTTCTCTTTATAAATGTGCTAGGAAATAATAATAATACTTCAGTGGAATTATTGCACTAATGCACTGATGATAGCAATAATTCTTGCTCTTGCTCGTTTTTCAAGTCTTGGTAAAATTGAAATATTTTTGTCTCATCATGATGAGTATGCTTAAAATGTCTGTATTAATCTAAACCTTATTAATTCTAGAAATTCATATTCATCAATTCCTTCGTTTTTAACATACGTTATTTTTTAACAATGTTGAGGCTTTTAAACAAATATTGATTATATTATCTTTGTTTACCAGAACTTTCGAAAAATTGTTTCCGATTTCCTGAATATTATAAAAAAGTACTCAAAAAAAAATTACTTTAGAACAGCGAGAGATTTTTGCAAATATGCCAAAGAGAATTTTTCTATCTACTTTTTGAACAGTATTCACAAAAACTCCTAAACATTTTTCTTCTGATAAAGAAAGATAATACATTCTATATTTGCTTGGAAGCTTCAAATAAGCTTTCTGTATCAAAGAAGTGTAACACATCTTAATTACATTTAAATTATCAGTTGAAGCTTTCTTAACAGTCCATCATGCGGGACAGTAGCGCTTCACTTCAAAGTTAGCATTAAAAGCGAAAATATAACTGAAAGCATAGTCATGAATTCCAGCAGTAAATTAGGAAATGAAAAGCTATTATTTCGAAGCAGTAAAAGATTTAATCCAATCAACTAGATTCTTTCCAAAAACTTTTTAATTTAAGATATTTTTTATCTGTTAAATTTCCTCCTTGCATAAAGTGAATACCACATGCTGATCTCCTCCCTCTTTTACTTCTTTCCAAACAGTTCTCTAAAAAAATATTAGACTGATAATTACATATTTCACCGCATCAATTTTTTTTCCCCACAACGATGGATAAGCATTCCAAAAAGAAGTCCGAATAACAATTTCTGATGCTTTATCTAATATCATGCTAAATTTGAATATAATACTGACATCTCAAGCGCTTTTATCATTTTATTATTTTATCACTTGAGCGGTAAAGTCTCCGTAACTTCTTTAATCCCTATGATCATAGATTCACATCCTGCTGAAAATACTACAATTTGCTTCCACAATTTCTTTGGTATGTGTTGTATAGAGTTTCAGGATGATGCTTCACTTATCAAAAAGTAGAAACTTTTTCATTGTATTACAGTACTTTCGTGATTGATTAGATTTGAATCTAATACTGACACCTCGAGTATATTTCAATGAATTTAAAGAATGAATTTAAAAAGAAATTTATATTGTAAAAATGGCTCTAGCATAAAAAATTATCCATTCTGCAGTAAATGAAGAAGAATTAAAATAGTATCAGGAAAGAATCAATAATGAAGTAGTAATAAGCGTATGAATTAGTCGATTAGGAAAAAGTCTAATTAATGGAAATATTCTTCCCATCTGTTCAACCTTTAATGTGTTAGCATTGCTAAACGAATATAAGACAGGAAGCAGCATAACGAAAATATATTAGTTTTTTTAAGAAAACTAAATGAACAGTTCAGCTTATGGATGAACAGTGATTTGAAATTGCCCTACTACCTGATTAATCAATGAAAGACTGAGATAGGAAAGGGCTATAATTATTGTTTTTTTATAAGTAAAACAGAAAGTAAAATCTCATCAGCAACAAAGTACCACATCTATCTTTCCCAATCATTTCCTACCTGAATAGGAGTGCAAATCGCTGAAAGTTCGAAAGTTAGAAAAGAACGACATTAGTGAAACTTACGTCTAACAATTAGCTAATTTTAAAAATTGAAATCGACGAGAAACAACGAAAAATGATAAGCTAAGAAATGTAATCATTCAGCGGACTACTGAGGAGAATGGAAGTAGTGGTAAGATTTTTAAAAATGACGAAATAGTAAAAATCATTAAAACGGAAGACCATCCAATGTTTCCGTAAATCCAAAAAAAATAACCTTCCTTGATTTTCATCAGTCAACACTTTTAAACCATTTAACACCTTTGAAATAAGAAAAATAAAAAAGCACGAATAAGTTCTGTTCAAATAATAAGGAAATAAAGCACGAATAAGTAAAATTGGAAATAAGAAAAATAATTGCGCATTTTTTAATTAATAATGATATATGAAGTAAAAAAAAAATGCAATTTTGGTTATCTCGAGTTTTTCCACACAAGTTTGCAACCAAAAAAATCGATTCCGAGATAAACTTGTAGATTAATGTATAAATTCATGTTTTTTAATTAAATATTGAATATAATACATGACACGAAAGCAAAAACCTTACAAACGACGTTAATACTGCGGGATTTCAGATGATGATACTACTGAACCAACGTAAAACAAGCTGAGGAAAGAGACATGCAAATGTGCTTTTACTTATTCTTGAAAAGATTTCATAGCAGTTCATATCGGTGAACTAAATGGAAATGGTAAAAAGATAGAAAAGTAAATCTGTGGAGCCAAGTAAAGGATAATAATCTTTGTTGATGATTCTGATTACTTCAATATATTATCATCCTTTTTTTTCTTTATCATAAGAAGTAGGAAATATTAAAAAATTCAAACTAAATTATCCAATTTGAAATTCATACTTATAACATATGAAAACAATTTATGTCGCTTAATTATTAAACATATCATTTACCCAAAAACTTTCTCAAATGCCAGAGAAAGGAAAATGAAAAAAGTGCTATGATTTGATTAGCTAGGCTCTTCAAAAGCCCTTTTGGCTCACTAACTCTGGACCATCAAAAAACCATAAGGAATGAATGAGTGAATATTGAATTTCAAATTAGATTTCGAAGGACAACTATTACTCGCTCAAGAAGTTAAAAAAAATTCCTTCCCCTTATCTTCATCTCGTAAAATTAGATGATAATAAAATTGAAACAACAAGAATAAAAATTAATGACTTTTCAGAAGCCCGATCTATTCATATTTAATAATGCAAATTTATTCATATGTGCTAGACGAACCTAATAATTCTGGTAGTAATAACTGATTCCGATGCTCCTCAGCAGATGATTGCTTCCGAGATTCTGGATCTGTAAAGCATGTAAGAAATGAAGCTTGAACCTTTTTTTTTTAAATTAATAAAGAGCCCTTAAATTCGCCTTTAAATTCCAGTGTTTTAAATAAGAGAATTGTTCGTTCGGATGGATTCAAAACAAATTTTTTTAGAATAACGAAATTATGACAAATTATTTTGAAAAATAAAAAACTTCAGAACTAGTAAATTCGAATATGTGTCTTTTAAAAAATTTTAATTTGCTTATTGTCAATGTAACACAATAGGCTTTTTTGGATCTGCTTCAATTTCTGATACATCATAATTCGACATTATGTATCGTTAGATAATGTCAGAATTTGCAGTAGGAGAGACAAAATATTGTGTGTAATTTTGGAGACGATTTTACAAAATACACAAAATTCTTCTTTTCCATCTTTTTCAAGCTCAAATTTATGACGAAATTTATATTGCGATGTGGCCAATGTTTCCAGAGGAAAAATTCCAGAGGAAATTCGAACATTCGAAAAGTGTTTCGAATGTTCGAATTTCCTCTGGAATTTTTTTTACTACTAAAACATGCTGCATAGAATAATTGTTTTCCAGAAAAAAAATGCATATGAAATTTCTTGTAAGTGCCAACTAATATATTTTCAAATTTTCATTTCAATTCACAAAAAAATTACGAAGAAAGTTTGCTTACTGCTGAATAAAATTTCACAAATGTATGATAATAATTGTTGAAAAAAGACACTAATTGCTAACAGTTTATTGTTTGAATCGGAAAAGATTCAAAAATTTCCAAGTTTCAAATTTAAAAACAGAATTTAAAAGAATGCTAAGTATATTATACTGCCAATCAAGTTATATGGTCTGCTCAATCCTCAACAGCAATAAACTAAAGCAAGTTTGATAAAAGTAATTATACTAAACCATATAAGTGTTAACCATAAACCATATTAAAAGAAGCTAGAAAAATTAGAACGTTGACAGGAATCTTTCCATTCTTTACAATTTTAGAAAATCGAATTAAGAATTAAACATAATTCTTAAATGGCCATGCATTTATTCAAACAAATTTATAAGTAGCCGGAAAATCTTACTTTTATTTACCAGATCAGCTGATTAATAAACATGAGACTTACCCAGATCGGAAAAACTATCGAAAGATGCAAGATGATCAATTACAGGATCGGTAGGTAATGCTTCATATTTTGGTGAAACCATATGTTCAATGACTTGCAATTTGTTAACCGGAGATATTTTTCTTCCATGCTGTTGACCTCCCTGTGTTACTATAAAATTGGACAAACTGTAGATAACATCCATCAAATTTTTCAATTTAAAAAAAAAGACAGGGATTTATGACTGGCTTTGCAACATTTCAAAGCCTGACAGAAAGTTTGAATTTTAGTTTTTTTTTCCTTACTTCTATATCAAATATCATGAAAAGATCAAACTACATATCAGTTACATTCCTTGTTACGTCAGAACCAAAATATTTTGTTAAACAAATCAAAAGCTTTTAACTGAAAAAAAAATTTTTAATAATATTACCAGAGGAAGACAAATGCGCCGAGGTGGTGCCAGCATACGTACTGCTATCACTTTCACTCCGGCTTCGTATACCACAGCAAAGCCAATCGACAGCTCGTGAAAACGCCGTCGTGTTACTCTTATCAATTTTAAATAGATTTCAATAAATTCAATTTAAGAATTCTACTACGATGCAATGCCAGAACGCTACTAAGATACAACTTATTATGTGATAACGTATATGACGTCATGTAGGTCATATATGTATAGCTAAATTATTTGAAAATACGAAATTAAAAAAAAAACTTTTCATTTTTATATTTATAAATCCTTTCAAGGAACGAACAAATGCTCATTTTGCTGCTCAATACTTATGATGTTAAAGCACAAATAAAATACTAATATGCCAGTAGGCAATAAAATAACGAAAAATAAACTTTAATAAACAACAGCTTATTCTCCACCTCTCTTCCATCTGCTTTTTCAATGGAAAAAAAATTTCAAAAGAATGCACTTCATGGATTGTCATGTTTGCATATTCCTTCGTCTATTATGTACGTTGACAAGTCAAGCAAAAGCAGTTCTAGCACATAATGAAATTAAATATAAGCCTTTAAATCATTTTAATCTATTCAATATGCATTAAAATAATTGAAATTTGTTGAAAAAAAAAAGAAATCTACTAAAATTGCAATGGAAGGATAACATATGATTTGCTTAAAATGACGTTTCAATATTCTAATGAGGCGGAATACGATGATGGTGGTGCATTTAAGACCGGGAAAACTTTAAAGATTTTCGATGGAAATAGAAGGAATGTTATGAGAGCAAAATGTCCAGAGAGCCAAAAAGAAAAGAAAAAGAAAATGAAGAAAAAATGACTTTGATTCCTAGTATAACACGAAAGTCGAAATTTTAATTACTATTGAGTGTAACTGTTGGGCCAAAAATTTGAATGAGAAAAATAACTATTGAATACTGAATAAATGATATGAAAAATTGGAGAACAGTTTTGAAACAGAAGACAAAGAACTAGCGACAAACGCAATTCATTCTAAGCATCAGCTTGATAGAATTATATGGCGACAAAAACAATTTGCAAGTGGCAATGCTGGAAGAATTTTCACAAAAGGCAAATCAAGAATTTCAAACAATTTCTCATCCATCTTTGTTTTTATACCCAATCTTATTGAAAAATCTTTGCATGCATAAGATGGATAGTAATTAGGGTTGTTTGGAAAGATTTAAATTTAAAATAAGTTAATTTATCTTCATCTGAAAAGAATGATAAACAATTAATGAAATTTTCGAATGTTCAAAAATACAAACATGAGAATTTCATCGAATGGAAAAAGTCTTCCTTTTCTTTTAGTCTCTTTTAAAAAAGTCTGTCATGTGAATAACTAACTCAGCTAACTTCATCAGTTGGATTTCATTTTTTTTTATTGGTAGCTGTATTGATGGACCATCGTCTCTATTGCCTTTGTGAACAATAATGATATTATGGTGAAATAAAACGTAATACTCAGTATTTCAAAACTAGCAGTTTAGTGGGAGCAACTGAAACGGAACTCACAAGTTAGTGAGAAGAGATTGGAGATCCGAACTGTTCACTTTTGCAAGTTAGAATTTTGAAGTTTAAAGAGAAAGAAAGCAGTTGTCGGTGAAATAATATTGTAAAATGATGCATTATAAGATGCAACAGTTTCGTCACATTTATACAGATTTTTTTCTTTTTTTATCCTTTTGAACTTCCTGCATGTATGAGATCGGATGAGCACACAAATACGACTCTTCCGAGAGCGAACAAATATGATGAATATTTTAAACTTGACCGATTCGGATGAAAGAGGAAAAGAATATTTTTTTAAAAAAAAGAAGGAATCAAAAGCGCATACGGTAAAATGGAATATTTTGCATTAATTGAAGAGGAAGAATTAGATGAAATGTGCAATTCAGCATGTTTTTATTTCTTTGAAATCGATAGCTGTTTTTCTCTCCCCTTGCGTTATATTTGTATTCTGAAAATGTGTATTTCCGAAATCCTTTTGTTTTATAAAATTCTCCTAGTTATAAAGTGACAACTGTGTAGGAGAAGAATGGAAACTTTAAGTAATAATTCTCCTCTTTAACACGCTCCGACACATAAAATTTGTTTTTGTTAAACAGAATAAAAGAGAAGGAATGAGAGAGAGAGATGAAAAACAATGAAGTTTTATTAAGCATTATTTAATCTATGCTTTTTTACACGTATAGAAGAAATTTTAAGAATTTTATGGAATGATGCAAGAGAGAATATCTATGTAATAATGGAGCATTAATAAGTAGGATTTAACTGCGAATATTTTTTTTTTTTTTGCTTTTTTAAACTAATATTGCAGAAGAGTGGATCGAATACGTATAAATAGAACAGAAAAATATTGAAGTAAAAACTATAATTTCACTTTGAATTGATCTCCGAAATGACAGTGGTAAATGTAAATGATTTTTCAGTTTATTAAAAAAAGACAATGTCAAGAACAGCGGAGACTCTAGGAAGGTGAAGAGAATATGGAGAAAAGAGTTTCTGAATTTTCGAGACCAAAACTCAGTTACAAGTACTAAGAATTTCTTACTACATCCTAAAATGAATGCAAGATTTATGGTAAAAGTAAAATTGTTACAGTGTATACTTTCAGAATCGAATGCCAGCTACTAATGTAGCATAGAGATCTTAATTTAATCATTTATCAAAATTAAATTGAATCACTTTGTTAATCTGCAAGAGAACCAATGTAAAACTGACCTCAAGTGCAAATTAAAAATTCACCCATGTAATTTTAGAAATTAACGCAATGATTAAATTTGCGGATTAAAATGGCTTTGATAAACTCAGCATTCAGTGAAGACAAAAAATGAATAAGTAGTTCAATCATATCTAATAAAATGATAGTCCAATTATGTTTAATAAAGTGTTGCGCCAACAGTAACGGAAGTGATGATAACGAAAATATCAAATATTATTTAAAAATTCCACACATCTCGTTTCATTTCTTACAAAAATCAGCAATTTTAATATAAAATGTAATGAGGGTCAATAGTTTAACAAAATTCTAACAAATTGTCAGATCAAAATTGATCTTACAACTGCGGAAGTGTTTTATACTTTCCCGGTTTTCACTCAGCCCAAAACAATCAAACAATTAGAAAATCTTAAGTTCAGCACTAGAAAATTACTGAAGATAAATAATAAGATTAAAGAAGGATAAAAAATGATGATTCTATTGAACTTTTGCTTCTGTTGTTGATGTGGGAATTTTACACACTCATTTACTTACTGTTTAACAATAACAGATAATCATTTCATTATCCTTAATGAAATACATAAGAAAAAGAAAATGAAAAGAACTAATGGATTGTCTTACACTTTTACAACTCATCACAATTACCCATCCTTTGTCCATACAATAGAATTTCCATTTGAGAATATTATAAAATGGAACTAAGTATAAGTAATCAGATCTAATCAGATACCTTTCTTAAAGTATTACTACAACAAGTAATACATACTTGTTAATTTGAACGAATGATTAGATGTACATTTGTTTATATATAAATATATTTGTTTGCTTCTTAAATCATCTTGCTAAAGAGATGAAGTTGAAAAAAAGATTAAGAAAATTAACGCACATAATGAAAAACAATTAGAGGAATTCTAATTTTCATCTGAAGTAATTAGCGTTAGAAAAACTTGCAGCTCAGTAATTGTAGTTAATATTTAAAAATGAATAAAGTTGTGGAAGAGAAAGACAAGGAAAGGAAAAGGTTCAAGCAAGAGAGAGAAGAAAAATTCGAATCTCGTACATTACAATTCCTCCCACACTGTTGTAACCTATCGTTCTATCTGTATTGTATTTCTCGTTTATTTATGCTTGTGAGATGTTAATTGATTAGTAAGAATAAATGGTGGTGATGATGATGATGGTAGAAGTGTGGGTTGAAAAAAAATGAAGAGTAAGAAATACGTTGCGATTGAAGATTGAAATTATTTATTGGATATCATCGACTATACATCGTTATCTTTCTATTGGATATCATCGACTATACATCGTTATGGATATCATCGTTATCTTTCCATATGATATATTGCAGAAAACTCCAGATCAAATTTCTCTTTATCACAGTTACTTTTAAAAGTCACTTGCAATCAATACTAATTTATTAGTGAAAATAAAAGATGAAATCTATTTACATATTTATATATATGTCACTGACGAAATGATTGATTTCTAAACGCCAATAAAAAAAGAATATATAACCAAGAAATTTAACTTTGCATTTTTCTTTGTTCCAAATTAAAATTCAACAGCAATAAAAATACCTGTAACGGAATGATTTATGATACTGAAACTGTCGTGTTCTAAAACTAAGCAATGAAAGCGTATAGCAGCAATAATATCGATAAGACAGGAATTGATTCATTCAGTATATTTGTATTTTTCATCGTTTTAAAACAAAAAAAGTGAAGGGAAGCCTAAACCTTTCCACATTCATTCCATTGTCCATCTTCACTTGCTGAAATGGAATCGGAGAAATGCTATCTTAATGGATTGCAGGCAACAGAAATAGCACCATTATCCCCTATGCAAATTATTGATCCAAGGGAATATGACATTTCTAGGAGAAAAAAAAAGATAAAATAAAAATATAAGGTAAATTATGAATCAAGAAGTGAATGAAAGGAAAGAGTAATATCTGTAAGTTCCTCTCAATAATATGAAAGCATTTTTTTGACTTGATATAAGTTAAGAAGAATCTTTCAGGATAGCTCTCTATTGAAATTAGAATATCTAATAGGAGGAGTTGATGATGATAAGAAATGGAGAATTATTGAGAAAAGGTAAACACATTAGCAATATCACATTATTTATTATTTGTTGTTAGTGAAAATATGGATACGGTTGGCTTCTTTCACTCTCATCACACACTACATTAACATAGGAGATAAATCATTAAAATGTGAGAGAGTGTACCATTTCTTAATTATATACAGTTGACAAATTAAAAATTGAAATGAA